AAATGGTTAACGGCAAATCCATGAAGTTTAAATTTAAATACACACAATAAAATAATGAAAAAAAAAACATGATGGACAGTGTAAATTTAGGCTATTCATCTCTAATCAATTCCAGTAATATTCAACACAAATGGTAGAATGCTAATTCAACAACTATCAGAACAGAAGAACAAAAACAGACTAATCAAACAAAATGGGAAAAACAAAGAGAGAGAGCTAGATGAAGAACTTCGTACCTGATGATGAAACTTGTCCTGGTCTAAATTAAAAAAAAAAAATGAATGTTCATGCTTTGTGAAGAAATTAATTCAATGGTTTCTGGTAGGACTTAGAGAGATGAAGGTCAACCCTCGAAGCTACGGATAAAGAAAATGTTGAAAGAAGAGTTCTACTAATTAGGTATTGATTTTGGCGATTACACAATAATAGAGTACAGAGGTGTTGCCTGTGTATAGTGTGTGAGATAGTGCGCATGTGGGTTTGGTGGGGAACTCTGCAAGTCATCACAACAAAATAAAATCAAATGCGTGTGCTACGGACAAGACGAGTTATTGATATAGAATTAATAATTTAAATAAGTATGAATAGAGAGTGAGGATCAATGTAGGGGTCAGCCATTAAAAACCGAAAACCAAAATTTTTAATTTACCCAAATCGAACCGCATCGAAACATGTAGAAAAATCGAACTGAAACCGCACCGAAATTTTCAGTTCGGTGCGATTCGATTTCGGTTAACCGCAATTTTTTTTTTAAAAAAAAACACTCAAAATAAAATGAAGTTAGATCATCATCATCAAATGCGCAACATTACTAAACCAAAAGCCCAAAATTTGAACTGAAAGTGAAAAACTATGGCAGGAAATTAGATTTTAATGTAATGTTATCAATTTTTAATTGTTATTGTTATTATTTATTACTTTACTCATTTATTGTTAATGTTAGTCATCCCAAACTAAAGGCCCAAAATGAGCATGCATATGTACAATACAAACATGGTAACATATTTCAATANCATCATCTAATGTCCAACATTACCAAACCAAAGCCCAAGATTTGAACTGAAAGTGAAAAACTAAGGCAAGAACTTAGATTTTAATGTAATGTTATTAATTTTTATTTGTTATTGTTATAATTTATTACTTTACTTATTTATTGTTAATGTTAGTCATCCCAAACCAAAGGCCCTAAAATGAGCATGTATATGTAAAATACAAACATGTAAACGTATTTCATATTTGTAAAAGTATTTTAAAAAAAAAAAAACATATTCGGTGCGGTTCGGTTAAAACCGCATTATTCGGACAAAAAACCGAACCGCACCGAAATTTGTGCGGTTTTTCAAAATCTTAACCGCACCGAAAATTGAACCCTTAAAAAACCGAACCGAACCGCACCGAATACATCGGTTCGGTTCAGTTTTTCAGTTTCGGCTCGGTTTTGCTCACCCCTAGATACGACAACGCTTGTACTTGGACTTTCTTCGACTTGCCCAGAATACATGTCGAGCTTGAAGGCCGTTCATCGACGATTATACAATTATCAATGTTTGTGAAAGAAAAAGCATTCACAAACATTTATAATTGTTCCAATTATTCTTATTATAGTTATAAAATTCAGTTATTAAATAATAAAATTTAACGGATTAAATTAGACTGTGCAGTTGCCACAGATTTAAAATTTCTCAATTAATAATAGATAAAATTGGATTCGACTATACGTGCACATGCCTACTAGTATTTATCCCTCTACATCTTAATAAACAGGAGTTGAGAGGGATACTGAGTTGCCACGTGGCACGCCATCATGCAAACTATATTTTTGTTTGGGCATTACTATTCACCGCCCCCCTATTACTATTTACCGCCCCCTTGGACATTTTTGCCCCTGGCATTTTTTTCCAAAAAGTAAAAAAAAATAAAAAATTATTGTTGTCCGGCCCCCGAAACTGGACGGCCCAAATGGCGTCCGGCCCCGACGGCCGGTCGTGATCGGTCCGACCGGCCGGACACCATTTTTTTTTTAAATAATATTATTATAAATCATTATGTTATATATTCAAAATATTTTTTTAATACAACTAATTTTTTAACCATTTAAATAGTGATTAATTAATTTTTTAATACAACTAATTA